ATGTCCTCTATATTACGTAGTATTACTGGAAGGCAGTCAATTTATATGTAAGATTTTGTCTTTCTTAAAAATGGTTCAAAACTGAGGCAAAAAATGCGTCAAAATTTAAAATGAGTTAAAAATGAATCAGAAATTAACTTCTAAAAAGCTGTCGGCAGCAATCTCCGGAATTAAAAGTACCATACATAAATAATGATAAAAATAGATAAGCAGCAATCAGAGGGGCTTTTTTTACTTTTTTCAAAAAATCACATACATGAACACACACGCTCATACACACACACACCCACACACATATACACGAAAAACGCATCCAAACATACACACAAACGGGCACACACACATACACAGATGCACGCATGAATAAATACATACATACAACACATACACACACGCACGCATCCACACATACGAATACACACACATGCATACACACACGTACAGACACGCATGCATATATATATACTCATGTATATACACACACACCTACACACATACACACACCCACACACACACCTACACATACACACAAGCAATATTCTAATATTTTATGCGATGTGCATGATGATAATATCCAAATTCAGTGGAATTCCTGAAATTTTCTAGCAAGATTTGAAAAAAAAAATCTCTTACCGCCACCACCACTGACTGCTCCAGTGCTATAGCCTCCGGATTGACGGCTCTGTGTACGGACGGCCGTACGTGGCTGGATGGTTGAACGATAGGCCATCTCGTAATCGCTTTCGGTGCTATGCTTTGTGGTTGACATTCTGCTACTGCTTCACTGATCGTCAACAAAATTTTCTGTGATGTACTCGAGAATGCACGCGTTTCTCAACGTTTGCGAAGTGGAGCTCACGCTAAAAACTGCTCAAAAAGTTACATGTTTTCCCAAGAAATGACCGTTTTTTTCTCGAACGCGATCGTCAACGCAAATAAAAGACACGCCAAAGCCAAAACCTCCTTTATATACATCAAAGTGGGAAGTATAAAAGCGCAATCGCGCCACCCGGGTAGGACCATCAATCCCAAGGCTTTTTGGTTTATGACCAGGGTCGGTTATCTCTCCTCCATACACTCATCCCCATCCCCT